CGTTATCAAAATATGACGCTTTTGTCACATACTATACTCGGACTTCTCATGAAATAGTATAATATGTTTTTTTTTCGAGATTTTATGACATAGCATACGATGACGTTTTTTCACATTTATATGCCTTACTACATTTTGACGTTTTTTGAGATTTATATGCCATACTATACTGACAATTTTTATAACATAGTACATTTTGATTTTTCATGACATACTATACTATGGCGTTATCATGTCATACTATATTATATTATATTATTATATGTTCAAGAAAAGATGTGAAGGAGAATTCATAAGGACTTATGAAAAGACAATTGCGGTGTTGAGAGGAGAGAATCCGATTGCACTCATTCTTTTCATCGTTTAAATCACCTTTATTTATAACAAACGATTATGAATACTTGTTTTCCAAACCACAACAACAAAGCAAGCAGGTCTGAAACATTGAAATAAGATAACATTTCATCAAGATGACCCCTAACAGAATTTGAAAGAGAAGAAATCTATAATTTTTAAGACTTCAGTTATCTGTGTACTTGTATGAAGAGATGACGAGACATCCAGAGTATAAGTCCAGTTTTGGTTCTTCTTCCCCTCCTGTTCTACGGCTTTCACCTCCTCCAGGCAGTCTCATCATGATTATCAATGTAAAGGGAAGTCTGGGAAGTGTGAACGGTCATTTTTCCAGCAGTGCCACAGGGAGTCTATTATGTGTTTGCAGGGATTTTAATGAGCTGGATGGGGAACACTCATATTTAGCGTTTGTATCATCACCATAAGACACTGGTGAATAATTATTTTAACCCCAGGACCACTGGAAATGTGGAAAACTGCAATAATGGAGAAAAGATGGTTCATCTAAGCAAAAGTAAAGAAATATTAATGCAAGTTGTCTTTTTCTAATACTTCAGTTTTCAGTGTAGACACAAAATTAGAGAACATACAAAATCTTCAGTGTAAAGTAATGCAGCATTTGACAACGTTGATGTGTATTATTTCAATGTTTCTTCAAGATGATCTATCAACTTCTATTCAACATCCAACACTTCATAGAGAATTTGTACTTTGTTATTTCATACAGTTCTTTCCAGATATTTGGACAAATGTCATCTCTTGAAAAATGTCTGTTCATAAAAACAAGGGGCAGCTGTTCAAGCTGCTTTATATCAATTTGAACCCCAGACTTTTTCATTTCACGCAGCTCAGACACCACTGATGATGTAACTGCATTGCCCTGAGTTTGCACAGTCTTGGGCATATACACCTATTTAAATGGCTGAAGAAAGATTGAGGAGAACATTCACAGGACAGGAGTGACCAACCAAACAATCTCTGCCCATAGAACTATATCAATAAATAGCCCTTCACTAAGCCAGTCCGACTCTGCTGTCACACTTTTAAAAAGTTGACCTTTGACCTTTTGGATATAAAATGTCATTACTTAATTTTATCCTTATAGACATTTGAGTTGAATTGTGTCATAATTATGTATGTATGTAGGCATATATGAACTCTTGAATAATAGCCAAAAACTTTTTTTGTGGGGTGACAGTGACTTTGACCTTTGACCTTTGTCCACCAAAATGTAGTCAATTCATCTATGAGTAGAAGTGGACATTTGTGCCAAATTTGAAGAAATTTGTTCGCATTCACGAGAATAGGACTGACAGACAGACCAAAACATTGCAGCTCCAGCCCTCACTGGTGACCAGTGCAGTGACATAATAGTGAAATCCATAGGGAATCATGACTAAACCTTAGCTCATAATTAAACCAACATATTGACTTACCTTACTGGGCAAGAACAATGGTGTTCTTGCCCAGTAAGGTCCTGCACATGAGATATCAAGACACGGGGTGCCTGATATTTGCCTTAATGTCCTCATCATTCACAATACTCAATTGCAAACAATTTATATGAACGTAGCTCTCAAATGTATATTATAGTTCTTTCTGTCTACTTATCTCTGATATTTCAGAAACATTACTCCAGAAATGCATTTTGCTTTCATTTGTTTTGATATTTTTCACTGATGTCATTGAAAACACTGTAGATTGACATGCCATGTTCAAAAGTTAGGCATAGCAACAGTAACCAAGGGAGGTGGAACTTAGTGAAGAGTCAATTGTACAAGACAAGTAAGCACGATTTAATAACCCACATATAACCTAAAACCTACATAACAAACATATTGTTTCAGAATTTGACCCTATGTAAACATGAGGACCACCCCACTGACCTCACATAGGCTGGAATCCATAATGTGCCGATCTATCCAAACCCTGTATGACCACCAGTTCATAAAATACAGAAGCTGTGTGTGTATATGAGAGTGCAGAAAAATGATGTCCCTGGGATCAATAAAAGATAGAAAGAGAAGAAGCTTTTAATTAAACTGAGCTAGTTGACCCAGCTCTGCAGGTATGAACAAGCAGTAGAGACTCCATCATTTATATTTATGATGAGCTGACGAACACAGAGATTTAAATCAAACTGAAAGCTAACAGGGGAGAAGAGGAATGCAAATCCACACTTCTGTTTACTCACACTCATATTGGGAATATTAAAATGTTCAGTTCACATTTCATGAGTTGATTGTCTAAAGAAAAAGGAATAATTCACTTAAAATGCATAATCATGTAGTTGTCTTGTCTAGACTTGAAAAATATAACCAAACCACTCTGGAAAAGTGATGTATGATGTTCAAAATCAATAAAGATAAGTTATTACAAAAACAATATGCAAAAGTAGTGTCACATGTCACTGTTTATAACACAGGATGTTTATCCTTTGCTGGACGCGCTGCTTAAAGAAATGTGGGGCATAAATTAAGAGTATATCCAGACACCACTACACCACTGTAGCAAACAGTTGTCTTTTGACGGATCCATGCATCATATCTGTCTCTTTGGCTGCTCCACTGTGTTCAGCAGGTAGTCTCTGTCTGCTGATTGGTGCTGAACAGAAAGAAGAAAGATGCTAAAAAGAGCTGAGCAGACGAGCATCCCAATTTCACATTAGATATATTTGTTTGATCCATAATTAATATAAAATGTTATTTTAAAAAATCATAATTATTAGAGCACCAGTGATTGAGCACAGAACACTCCCTCCCTCTTTTGTGAACTGAATTTCTCACTTCCATATATGAGTTAGAATTTTATTTATTTATTAATTTTTCTTTTGATTGCTCAGAGCACCTCTTCTTTATGCACCATGTTTCATGATATCTATGCCAGAACCAGTAACTGTACCACCAACCCTGTATTAATGTCATTTAAATTCAGTAAAAATCAAAATAACAAAAAGAGAAAAAAAAGTCATAATTATTTCACATCTATCTGATATGAATTTATAGCAGACATTACAGTGTAATAAGCAGTGTCAGACTTGGGTAAGATACATGAGGATAGGGTGTTGTGATGGAATACAGGATTGGTTATTAAAGCCTCATTTTAACAACCACTGCATCACATCTCAGACAGCAGCAGTTTGAAACAACTGATGTGTCCATCTGTCTGTTAGCGTGAAGGGAAACAGTCAGTGGGCTGAAACCAGCATCTGTCATAATGACCATAAATCAGCCGAACCACAGCGACTGCCTATTAGATTACACTTGTTGAACTCCTTTGATCTACCAATTATATTGTTTATGCCAGACACATCAGATCTGGCTTTTCAGTGTGACATTATGCTTTAAGTATGCACATAAACTGATTCAATACTTTTCTATGAATACCACTGTGATGATGCCATGAACAAACAATGACACCAGATGATATGTAAATTAAAGCATCCTGTTGACATTTACACAATTCAAGCTTTAATATATTCTTATATCAGGGAATGATGGAATTAGTGTACGGTTTAGACTGTATTTCTCTCTCTCTCTCTCTCTCACACACACACACATTTACAGTATATATATACTGTATACACATATACATATATGTGTGTGTGTGAGAGAGAGAAATACAGTGTAAACCGTACACTGATTCCATCATTGTGTGTGTGTCTGTTCAAGTGAATGAAGGAGGTCAGGAGCTTAATTGTTGTTGGCTTCACAGATTATTTAATAATATTTTATGTTTCCTGTTATCATTTTGGTCATTATCTTAACTCTGCACACCACCCACTGCAACAGGAAGTGGGCACCACCAATTATTTTTTATGCTATTTGGGCCTGGATTGAAGAAAACCATTGTAAGGCTCATAGCACCACCTGCTGGAATCAAAGCGCTCATTTGTTGAAATTCAACTTCAGAGTCACCCGAGTCTCTTCGTCTATGTACAGGAGAAGCAACATAAAAAAACAACAACAAAACAACAACAAAAACAAAAAACCATAGTAGTAGTACAAGAAAAGGCACATAAAAACGGTACAAAGTGGCAAAGTGCATGTTTGTGAGTGCGTATGGGTTATGGATTATTACTCTCAGCAGTCAGTTATTCAGTCATTTAGTGGAAGGAGAGGGAGGGAAGGGAAGGATATGAGGGCTACACAGAGGTGACAGCCTTTGGGAACAAGCTGTTTTTTGGTCTGTTGGTTTTGAATTTGTTTGTCCTGTATTTCTCCCAAAGGGGAGGAAGAAAAAATTCTTCTGAACTATAATGTTCTTGTTTTTGTTACTGCTTGCTCAGTTGTTTCTATTGTGATCTGCAATTATCTTGAATGTGACTTTTTGATTGTGTTGTAAAGACTGTCAATAAAAAAAATAAAGAATAAATAAAAAAACGTGTCTTCAAATGATGGCACGAGGTAAGCTCCGCCCATATGTTTTGGTTCCACTGTCACGTGACAAATAAGGCTGCTAATTTTATCCAAAATAAGTTCTGAAATCACAATAAGTTCTAATAGACGAGTACGACGTATTATCATAACTGCATTTTATTCGATATAACGGCTCTCCTCTTAATTCACTGAATTCGTCTGAATCACAGAATATTATTTTGAAAGTTTGAAGCGGAAGTTCGAGTTTCTTCTTTGGTCTTGCTTGATACTGACCGGTGATGAACCGTCTCCCTCCGTCACGGTAACTAAAGATGGAATCACCAGAAAACCTGTCCGGTCAGGAAGTCGGTGTGGAGCAGGATACTACACCGACCTCCGTGGATGTGGACACTGCTGTGTTGCTGCTGGGAGCGGGAGTAACAGCCGTTACACATCCGCTGCTATACGTGAAGCTGCTGATACAGGTAGCTGATGTAGCTAACTAGCTAACAGTAGCCATAACAAAACAAAACGCCGTTGCTGTGTTGTTTTTCACTCATTCAAGTGTTACCTGCACTTATTCAGCTCAGCCACCAACATAATTATTAACACGCAAACATGTCAAACATTTTCTCAGTTCTGACTGAGAGTGAAGATGTGTCCACCTTTGGCCTTGACCTGCTCTGTGTGGTGGACCGCGGTGAAGACAGGTTGATGCTGGACATTCAGTGAAGATAATCCGCAATAACTATTGAGTGAGATCATCAGTCATTAGATTTGTTGAGCATTACAATAAAGCTTTATGGATGCTGCTCAGGTTATTCTTATTTCAAGATGTATATAAAAATGATGATGATGTCCCTTTACATCTGGAGAATGATTTGAGGCTGAGGCATCTCTGTAGCACCACAATGCTTCATTTATAATAGTTTTGTGATGTCATGACAGATTTTGCCTTTATCAAAAAATTGCAGCTCCTGTGATTTGGATATTGCTTTTGATCATATAGCAAATTCAGTAATGTCATAATTTGTCATTCTTCCAAAATTCTGTCAGATTATTTTACTGTGAGGGAAGACTAAACATGCTCCAATGTCCACAGCAAAGGACTGTTTTTGTTTAATTCTCTATGCAGGACAAACCCTGCAGTAGTCGTCAATATTATCATAATTCCCATGAAGCAGAGAAGCTGTTTTTAATCTCAGTTATCGCTGTCTCCAGGTGGGACATGAACCTCTTCCCCCGACTGTGGGCACAACCATGTTTGGGAGAAGAGTCTTATACTTGCCTGGCTTTTTCTCCTATGGTGAGTTAGCTGTGATTATTCAATGTCTGTTTGTTTCACTGGACATGAATGAACAGCAGGTGACAGGTGATGGGTTTGTTTTCAGCACAACACATCGTAAAAGTGGATGGAAAGAGGGGACTCTTCCGTGGCCTCTCACCTCGTATAATTTCCAGTGCCATCTCTACCATGGTTCGGAGCAAAGTTAAACAGGTGAGGACTGACCCTAAGAATGACCAAATATCTTTACAGTTCATATTTAGTATTGATCGTCATATGTTGTGTCAAAGTTCTCTATTGGTCATCCCAGAACTGGACTCAGCCTGGAACCGGCCTGATACGGTCCTGACACACCAGGAATCTGATGAAAAAAGAATAGATTTAGACATACAAAGACAGAAACATGCATTCACACATCAGATTTACAAAACCATTTGTACAGTTTGTTTGGTTCTGTTGTATAAATCCCACTCCACAGTTAGCTATCAATCCACTGGTTATTGATTCAATAACCAGTTTTCAGACCTGTCAGTGAATAAAACAGTGCAGAAGTCCAGTTTTGACTGCTTTTATGGGTGAGCAAATAAATATATAGCAGATTTCAGGTAAACACGATTAATCCTGCAAGGTTGGATGGAGGGTTTGGGTGGACGGGGCTTGGGGCATGGCCGAGAGCAGTGACTGCTTTGTTGTGACATCACAAAGTTACAGAAGTTCTGATGGCTCATTTTAAGGCAAGTAAAGTCTGGATCACCTGTGAATATTCTTCACAAGATAAATTATAAACAACATGTACGAGCCACTTGAGAACTAGTTGGTTCATATGAGTGGATCCTGAATGAGCCCATTATATGTGGCATATAAGCGTGAGGTGGTGTGTGATTACCAGAAAAAATGTCTTTGGGTAAAAGGTAGTCACAGTAATTGTGGTTATTTATTCAGCAGGTGGAGCTTCTGTTCAAGAGAGATGAGCTACAGACTTCACTCAGGAGAGTGGTCAAAGAGGTGAGACATCAGTTGAAACTGAGTAACATGAACTCGTCTGACTGAAATGATACAGTTTCACTGTCTCTTTGTGCTCCCTGCCTCCTGTCTGTTAACCTGTCAAAGGTTGAGGTCACTATGACCTCACAAAACCTGATTGTGGCCTTGTGAACACAACACATCGAGAACTCCTCAAGGGAATCCCTTGAAACATTCAGTTGGACTCAAGGATGAACTGATTAAATTTTGGGAGTCAAAGGACAAGGGCGCGGTGACCTCACAAAACATTGTATTGGTCTTTTGAATGCAATATGTCCATAACGCCTTGAGGGAATTTCTACAAATTTGGTACAAATTTATTAGATTTTGGTCAAAGGTCAAGGTCACGGTGACCTCAGTTTTCATTTATCCAGAAAATCAATAGAATTTTTTTTTTTAAATCCTGATACTGAACATTTTATTTTTGTGTTTTATTTTTGAACAAATCTTTTCAGCCCTCTCCACATTGTTTCCTCTGCAGACCACACATGAGATGATCATCCAGTGCCTGTCCAGAGTCGCCACTCATCCTTTCCATGGTATGTTATTTCACCGTACAAAGTGTCTCTGGTTACACAACCACGGATTAAACCAGTTAGTGCTGTGCTTGTTGGTCCCCTGCTGTTTTTACAAGTGACATATACTGTTGTGTTTTCCTTTGGCAGTTATGTCAGTGCGGTGTATGGCCCAGTTTGTTGGCAGAGAGGTCAAGTATGGGTAAGAATATATATATATACTGTATATATATTATATATTATTTTTCAGCTGTAAAATGTGCTGCTCACTAACCTGAAGGAACCCTCCCCAAAATGATAAAAAATAACACTGAGAAACTCTAATCTGCCTCATCAGGACTCTGTGCGATTGTCACTATGGTCCTGTTCACATGGTTTCACAAAGATATTTTAGAGTCTTATTTGTGCTCATAGATCAGTCTAATGCAAGTCAGACAGTTTCACAAAAATAAAGACTGACTAATTTTAACACAAAAACATTAGATACCCTACCCCCAGGCTAACTCAGGCCTAAGACCAATGTATCCATGGTAACAATCAATGTCACCTAACCACAAAAAACAGGGAAACATGTGAACTTTTTACACGTGTTAATGGAGGTCGTTTTACCTTTCAGAGGGATGTTCAGCTGTATTGTCAGGATTTTTAAGGAGGAAGGAGTTTCTGGATTCTATGTGTGAGTCATGTTATAATTTCATTCATTAGTAACATTCATACGACATACTCACCTCGACCTTTGACCTCCAGCCGTTTGTGTTTTGTGTGTTTGCAGTGGTCTCATACCCCATGTGCTAGGAGAGGCGCTCTTCCTGTGGTGTTGTAACCTCCTGGCTCACTTTATTAACACCTACGCTGTAGACGAAAGTGTAAGTCCATCACCTTCACTTATACTAAGATAACACTGTGTCTAACAGGAGAGAGAGGCTGTCATTTTATATTAACACAATCACTTAATTACTGATTAAAAAAAAACATTGAATAACAAAACATAAAGTGTCAAAACTCTGCCATGTAAGACGGGAACATCTGCTTCTGAACCATTCACGACACTGAGTCACATCATCATCTTTATCAGTGTTCAGACAGTAAAGCCAGACTTGATAACTACAGTGTTTCATGGGAGGGACTGTTAATGTTGGATGCAGTTTTATTTTCAGCAGTAACTGTAACAGAGAACATTCTGACTGTTTTCATTTGCTGTTGTAAACTCAACACTTCCCTCATGTTTACCCTGTCGTGTCTTAATAAATTGAGTATAATGTCCATTTCCACAGAACTTATTCACTCTGCTGCTCTGAGGTCAGATTCACTAAGACACTGTGGTTTCAGCCAATCTCACACACACACACGCTCTGTATAAGAGTCATTCACATTCACCTCTTCCTTGTCTTTGTGTTACAGTTCAGTCAGGCCTCAGCAGTAAGAAGCTACACTAAGTTTGTGATGGGAGTAAGTTCAACATTCGCACTCCAGTTGAAAACGTTTCTCCTGTGTCGTCACCTCAGACTGATACAGTGTGTTTTTCTTCAGATTGCAGTGAGTGTCCTGACGTATCCGTTCATGCTGGTGGCCGATCTGATGGCCGTCAACAACTGTGGGTGAGTGAAACTTTCAAACTTCATATTCACAGATTAGTTCAGAGGCAGGATGATTCAACATGTGTTTAGTTCATTCAGTGTGGCAGCCCGATGGATTTTCAGTGATTTTATCTTCTGCAGCTACACTCTGTGGCTGATTCATATGCAGATAGAAATAATACATTTAAATATGAACTAATAAAATACATAAAGGTTCACTGATTTCTTACTTCTTCTAATGTTGGAAAATAACATTTACAGTAGTTTCAGAATTTCCTCTCGGGGGCCTGTATTTGTAAAATCCTGGCTGCAGCCCTGATGCTTCAGTCTGATTGGTTGTCTTTGTGTTGTCAGCCTGGTTGCAGGTCTTCCTCCTAACTCTCCCATCTTTAAGTCCTGGATGCACTGCTGGAATCACCTGAGCCGAAAGGTATGCTCATTTCTCCACTCTCACTTCTGACACAACAGCACAAGACACACTGTTTTCCAGCCACTCTCATTCTGACCTCTCACCTCTTTACAAACACATGAATTAGGTTCAACCTAGTCTGGATCTTTTGTTTACCTGCCTCACTGAGCCCGACTCTGATCATTACAGTCAATTCAATTTAATTTGTATAGTTCCACATCATAACATCTTATCTCAAGGCGTTCAGGGCTCACCTGAGCCAGCTCTAACTATAAGCTTTATCAAAGAGGACAGTTTGAAGCCTGACCTTAAATGTAGAGAGGGTGTCTGCCGTCTCAACCCAGACTGGGGGCTGGTTCCACAGGAGAGGAGCCTGGTAGCTGAAGACTCTGCTTCCTGTTCTACTCTTCACAAGTCAGATAACCAGTTTATCTGTGTAGTTTATGAGAAAGAAGCACAGTCGTTAATTATAAAACATCATTAGAACTTATGAAGTAGTTAATACAACATGTGGTGAAACAGTGATAAACCTGCAGAAAAAAGTGACGATCAACAAGGTGAAATGTAAACACAAGAAGCTGTTGTATTTATAATGTGCTGTTTATTAACAAGTGAACCCCCCCTGCCCCCAGGGTCACCTCTTCAGAGGATCCAGCTTCTTTTTCCGCCGGGTGCCTGTGACCTCCCTGCCCTCCATCGAGGACTGACATCATCAACATCTTCACTTGTTGGGATGTTCGTCCTCTTCCTGCTAGGAAAGATTTTTTCAGACACCCCATTTCCCCTGTCAGCCTCTGATGTAGCAGGAACAGCGGAGACGGCGCAGCTCGTGGTGCCAACGAACTTTTGGTTACAGGAGCTTTAGTTCAGTTCAGATGAGGAAGGAGGTTGTTACAGTGTTTTGTTCTTGCCTGCAGTGACTACAGCTCTGATCTCATAGCTACGTCTCCATAGCAACAGCTGCTGAGGCTCATGGGTACTGCAGTAATTAATGCAAACCACATATTCCTGATGATTATTATCATCATATATATGATATATATCATAATAATATGGTCAGTGTTGGAGCACTTCCTGTTTCTGAACCTCATCGGGTTAGTGATGTCATCGATGATCCTGATTCTGTGTTGAGGAGGAACCTGAATTTAACCTTTCAAAAAACTAGACCACCCTCCTTACCACCACCCACTGGTCTTTCACATCGACCACTTTGTTTTCCATTCATTTCCTCGCAGTTTAAAAGTCTTACACTCTTTAAACCTGTTTGAGATGCGTCATCCACCACTGCCAGTCACATTATCAGAGGTTTAAATCAGTCTGTGATTGAGCTACATTATTATGGAAATGTTTGATTTTAGTGAATTATGTGCTTCAACACTGCAGGTTGAAGCTGCAGGTTTGGATCATACAGGACAAACTGAAGGTTTCGTTGTTTCAATGCAGTTCAAAACAGTGTCTTTGTTTCTGTTCATGGAAACAGTGTCTGAGACTGACACAAAGTGTTTCCTATTTTTTTAAGTTTAAAGACGATTTAAAAACCGTGAGCACATAGGAGAAAACACACACTTAAATAAATAAATAAATAAACACACACATACATACATACATATAAATATATATACATATATATATATATATACATACATACACACAACTGAGTCTGAGATCTCTTTAAGACCCCTCTGTATGTATATACATATAAGTATGTAGATGTATACACTACTTTCTTACATTTTAATTTCACACCCTGAAGTTTTAAGAATTTTTGTTTTTAAAATATTTTTGTGCTACAACCTTTTCTAATTCCATAACAGAGTGTTTTTTTTTATTTTTCAGGCTAAAATCTACAGGTGTTCTTATTGGATAATGTCTGTTCCCTGACGGCCAGTTACACGCATGTTCATGTTTTGACTCCAGGCTGTGATTTGTGTTGTGGTTGCTCTGCCCACTCATTCTTCTTCAGTTATGAAAATAAAATCTTTCCTGTTCGTCAGTGTTGAGTTCATGTTCGGAGTCTGAGCACCGATTATAAAGCTGGTGACTGTATTTACTGTAGTTAACAATTTACGACCAGGAAAAAGCTGAACTAAAGCTGAAACTGAAAGCTGAGTAACTAATTATTGACAGCTACTTGTTTTGCTAATTTTGCAAAAGTTACGGTTGAATTAAATTAGTATTTTTACTAATATTCTAAGATGAACATTTGCTTTATTGAAGCAGCATGAAATTACTTCAAATTATGTGTTTGTCATAGCAGAATTTTTAAAATGTGGGTATCAGATTGGCAATGATCCAGTAGGTATTCTAAAAAAAAAAAACAAAAAACAAACCTAAATCATCACCGTTATATATTTTTTCTTAATTTCACACCTGTCACTGTCCATTTCTCTTGTACCTGGAGTTTAACGTGGTTAAAACAAAGTTTCAGTGAGTCTGGTCTCTGGTCCTGTTTAGTTCACCATCGAGTGCTGCAGGCCCAGCATCCTCTAGGGGGCAGAGCGCCTCAATCCTGATGTAGACACTAAGACATCGGTCATTCAAAAAGACATAACACAGTACACAGTAAGTGCAGAGTAATTCATTGTCAAATAGCAAAAAACAATACAACAGCCACACGCTACAAAGAGAACAGTGGTTTAAATAATGCACACACACCTTCCCAGAAACCCCCTCACCTCTGACTTTGTCACATGTGGTGTGTGATGACACAAACACACACACCACACAAATCTGAGCATTATCTGTAGAAAACAACATACAGACCTTCAAGCAGTTCAACATTGCATTGTTGTTACTGAGCATGATCACAACCCCGCACACACACACGCACGCACACACGCACGCACGCACACACACACACACACACACACACACACACACACACACACACACACAAAGCATCATCATCAATAAAACCACTCCACGTGCTCTATTGCTTTACACTGACTCATCTGCTGCTCGGTAGAAACATGCGGCGCCGGAGCAACAATAGACAGTTTGTTTAAAAAATTGACCCCTCCATAGAAAAAAGCTCCACCGTGTGCTTTTACTAAAACGTGTTACAATGTGCTGAGCTTCATCTACACACTACCTGAATACACTGAGTTTTATATGACAGACAAACTGAGAAAAAACCTTCAGACCGAACTGTGAAGTATGGAAGCCCATTCCTACCAGAAAAACTGAAAATTAAAAGTAGGATATGACAAACCAAACTTTTTAAAGTCCCAATTTTTAAGTAATCCTTTTAAAGTCAACATCTCTAATTAATGTAAATCCTAAAATATGATCCGAGTCAAAGTTTTCAGTTAGAAAAAATTTTGATAAGAAAAAAGAACTTGCCAATTCAAAATTTATATTATGACATAAAATTAAAAATTTGAAATTTACAAAATTAAAGTTATGACAATTTTATTTTAAAATGTGAAAAAATCCACAATAAACCCAAATTATGTCAAAATTATGATGAAAATCAAAAATTTGTGTGTCAAACCTATGACAGTACGTCAAAATAAATCTTAATAAAATAAATCAAAACTTTGACTTGTCATTAATTTTCAACTTAAACAAGTTAAATTTAGACCAACAAGGCAAATTTACTATACAAGACAAAATTTCAACAGTCTAAATTTATTTAAAATGTATTATGCCAATATTGTAATAATAAATATCAGAACTTTGACATCTGATCTTTTACTGTTCCAATCTTTTTTTCCAGGGGAAATAGGCTTCCATAGTTACACGTCATGTGTCAGGGCAAAGATAAGAAACAAAAGGTTCAGACTACATTCACACAAACAGCATTTTGGAATTATTGTGGCAAAAAACTTTTTTCTCTGTGACTCCATAAATCTTCATTTACATTCATTTTAAATGACAGCATTTTGGATATTGTGTTCACTGGAAATAGTTTAGCCCTGTGCTTCCATACTGGATCACACTGCTGCACCGTGGAGTTAATCTTCATGATGCAGAGCGAGTGTCTCTTAAGAAGTAAATAAAACAAACACACACCCACACAGAGTGACAACCTGACAAAAGCAATGCTAAAAGCTGGAATCAACTTCAAACATCTTGACCTCAGGAATGAACCGCCACACTGTTGCACATAACACACACACAGAAAAAACAGAAAGCTCTCATAAGTTTTTCAACCAAATTAATCCAATGTGTTGTGAATGTAGCAGGTGATGGTTTAAACAAGAAACTGCAACAGAACTGAAACGAAGGCCGGGGGCAGAGTTTTACGTCCCTGTCCATCATGTTTGTTATCAACTATTATTTACTCCCACGAGGCTCCATATGTCCAAGATCTCATTCACTCAAAATAATATTTAAACAACTCAGCTGCCACCAATCTTCCCCCGTTCCTCTTGGTAAGTCAACACCAGACTAAATATTTTTTATCAGGAACAATTTTCTACACCAGGTTCCCAGTTTTTCAGCTGGAACAAGCTAATCAGCCCAGCCCTCAACACAACAGTGAGAGACTGATAACAATATATATATATATATATATACATATATACACACATATATGTATATATATATATATATATATACAGACACATACACACACACACACACACACACACTACTGGTCACCCTGCTTAAACAGCTGCTGAGTCTACAAGAATTGCATTAGTTTAAGTAAGAATGGGAAGATGTGTTACATGTTTGTGGAGAAATGGTGGCTTCAGTTTTAATTACCACCATCCCCCCACGTGTGGACACAAGTTCTCTTTTCCAGTCTAATAAAAACACCCAATCCAAACACAAACAGCTGGAGGCCGGCCCAAACATCACATAAGGTGCTAAAGGTAACTGAACATAAATGGGTCATTGCGAAAATGTAACAAGACTCTTGTGTTTGTTCCACAAAAAGCATCATTCTCATATATTCACGCCTTTCAACGACCGAATCTGCTAATTTCAGTCCATAAAAGGACAACTGTAATATACAAAATGAGACGTGACGGAGAGATCAAGCAGAAACAAGCAGAAACATTCAGCTCACAGTCTTTGGTTAGGTCATCTGAAGAAGCCAGCAGCAATTTAGAGAAGCCTCATAGTGAGCTCTTTTAGGAAAAGACAAGAAACATTTGGACAGAATCCCTGAAGAGCACCTGATTCACTTCAAGTGACGACTTAATGCAAAGTTTGAGTTGATAAGTCAACATGAAACGGTGAAAAGAGCGGATGTCCTGGGTTAGAGGGAGAGGAACCCTGGGTAGGTCCAACAGACTGGTGCTGGTTTGTAGAGAGGGAATGTAAATGATGCTGGTATCAGGAGTGAAGACGTCCCACTGTGGAGAATCACAACCACTTTAATCCCAGTTCAGTTCTGAAGTAGAAAGGTACCCTCGGAAGCGTCAGAGAAAGTGAAGACCTGCAGAAGTGAAGGCAGCAGTTCCTATGGTGAAAAGCAACGGATGAAAAATTGAGCCCCTTTATTATTTGCAACGTCCTGAGTGACAAGAATCCTCATCAGTCAGGTAACAGAGAACAAGCAGCGTTCTCCGTTCAGGGCTGAAGTTCTTCAGACAGCAGGGTTTTGGACGACTCGTTCAGGTTTCATGGTGCTGTTGCATAAAAGCCAGTCTGAAGGTGCTCATCTCTTCCCTGACTTCATGTAGGACGGTATCGCTCCTCGGGCGGTCAGGCCTTCGAAGCGTTTGTAGGTGTAGTTGATGAAGACCCAGTCCTTGTTCTTCAGGTCGGCCTCGGTGTGGTTGGACACCTGGGTGGCTGGAGGAGGAGGAGGAGGAGGAGGAGGAGAAGAGGAAGAGGGGTTCTTAAGCATTTCACAGCAGAAGCACAAAACATGAAAGGTGTTAATCAACGACAGGTGGGGTACCTGCTGGTGTGAGGATATCTGAATCAGGGAACTCGTCAAAGTTGGAGGTGTCGTCGATGCTTTTAATCTCTATGGGAATGGCAGCAGGTCTCTCCCTGGACAACAGATCAGTGACGTTAGACAAAAGACTCAGATCAGTTGCAAAGTGAAATTTTGCATTTGATTAAAGACAAAACGGATGTCGACGACCACTGAGCAATAAATGTTAAATACCCTGTACACGATGGAGGAAATGCAGCAGATGCTTAAACAACTTTCAAGTATCAGAGAGATCATTTGACAGCCTTTAAAGAACTGTTGAGCACTTTCAAATGTAAGTTCTCTTTCTCTTGAATGTATTCTTTAAAAATACATACAAATCAATTAACATGTTCTAACATGTAAATACATCAACTAACATTTTGCTGAACTTCAAAGTCACTGTTTATCAAAATTTAAAGTTATTCTAACATGAACAGAAAGGATGTAGTTGAAGCATATTTCATCATAGAAATATTCTATCGCTATATAAAAAACTTACATGAGAAATTTAAAAAACAGCAGTTGTTGGTACTAATTGCATTAATTATTTGACAAACCCTATATATCTAGCAATACTCGTAATACACACACACACACACACACACACACACACACACACACACACACACACACACACACACAAACACACACACACAACACTACACAACACACACACACACACACACACACGATGATGACGACCTGGGAACACTGTCAGTGACATCCCAGTCAATCAGACCAAGGCTGAATTTCAAATATCTCCATGTAAATACATTGATGTCTTTAATATGAGCACATGTTGCCAGTCTGTACCTGATATGGTCATAGTCCACCCCCTCAAAGAAGGGGTTAGACTTGATCTCCTCCACGCCTGCAGCCCCGATCCTGTGCTCCTCCTCACAGCAGAACCTGATAACAACATGTGTTCACTTAATATCATTCACACACAGCAGCTCAACACAAACCACCTTAGATGTTATAAGCTAACTTTGACATGTTCAAAACAAATCAACGCATCCACTGTCGATACACAAAACAAGTACAGACACTGATTTCAGTGACTGACTAGCTGCTGCATCCACTACATGTGAGAGTGATGTGTTCCTGCCTGAGGATGAGGTCTTTGGCCTTCTCTGAGATTGGAACTTCTGGAGGAAAGGTGAGCGTCTCTCGCCAGTTCATCACCTTCCTGTACGTCTCCTGAGGCGTCTCTGAGCAGAAGGGAGGGTAACCTGCAGGAAGCAAAGATCAGCCATCATTCACACCACATCTGGTCTGGTCTGGTCTAAAGCCCCATCATGTCTCTGAGTCATTACCTATCAGCATCTCATACATGATGACACCCAGGCTCCACCAGTCACAGAGTTTGTTGTATCCATTCTGCATGAAGACCTCTGGAGCGATGTAGTCCGGGGTTCCCACCGTGGAGAAGGCCTGACAGGGAGGGGGGTGAGGGGGAACACCACAAAGATAATCAGAGGCTGTTTGCTTTCAAGTGACTAGAATGTGATTTAGGACATTTTTGTCTCCTATGTTGAATGAATGTGGAGTAAGTCTCTGTGCTCTTTAGCACCATTGGTAAATAATATTTAAGCAATACTTTTTGCTTCAGACTGTCACTGTTGCACATTTAGTGATGAAACTTTAATGTAACCGAGATATTTAAATTTTGAAACCAAGTCTTTGAGGGTTTTTTTTAATTGAAGTTGTATAAATACTTTGCACGTATGGCCGTGTTTCGCATTTACAGAGGCTGACGGATGAATAAGGAAAACAACACTGGGGCACCTTGTCTCTTCATTTAAACTGTTGCTAATATGATCAGCTTTGGTACTGATGCCAAAATTGTACTTTTTTAACAACATGACTTTGAGAAATAAACATGTTACGCTACAGGAGTGTTTTCATTTAACAAAAAAAAAACAAGAATTAAATAAAATACAGTCTAATACAGGAACAACAGGATTTGATGAAAGTCAAAAAGATGATGAATCTGACATTTGGTGCCACGTTTGTGCAACAGACACATTTGAGTCCATATGAAAAAAAAGTACTGAGTTGTAATAATTAGCTGATTTATTGCATCATTTCTTTTTGGGGAAAAAACCTGTGAAGGTAAAAACATGTAATAATGAAACTTCTTTTAAATTGTGTTTTCTTTACTCATATGTTCCATAGATGAACTTTGTAAAGGAGGATTAAAAATCCAGCTCTTATCACATGCGACTGAAATACTGTTAAAGTGTTACATTTGGTCAGACCTACCAGCTGCCTCCTGTTCCTCTTCCAGGTCTCTGCTTTCCTCTTGGAGTTCATATTCTGGAAAGCTGTGGAGGTGGGACAGCCCAGGATTAAAACACGCTACGCTGAATCTCAACCAGTGCAAAATAGTATGTGAATATAAAAATGACAGACTGGTGTTTTCGTGAAATTAGTCATAAAATGTGAATAAATGCGAGTGGCTGACATTGCATGCAAGCTACAGTTGAAATAAATGAAAAGGGTTGCCTGACTTTGCTTACTGAGGTCACTGGGCAGGCTGTGGTTCAGGTTTTTGTAGAACTCAGTTCGGTGAGCCCTCTTCAGCCCAGTGCACAGACCAAAGTCTGACAGCTTTACATGACCCTGGAAACACAAAACACACTATTATAACTACCTACAGTTTCTTTCTGGTATTTAGCCTTCCTTCATTGATAAAAATGGGGTGGTCAAAATAAAAGATACAAGATTTAAAACTACGGCTGGAACCTGATGGAATCAATTCAGCACTAAATTTTAGTACAATTTTAGCACAGAGGAATAAGGTTGACATGATAGAACAATTTAAAATAATTTTCATATAAAGTTAAGACAAGTACACTCACGGTTAGAAACTGTTCTGTAGTTAGTCTAATAAAAGCTGAAAATGGTCAGAACCACTGTGATGGAGTAGGTTTATGAACATGACTCACCCTGGAGTCCAGTAGCAGGTTGTCTGGTTTGATGTCCCGGTGGATGAAGCCCAGCTGGTGGATGGAGTCGATGGCCAGCACCGTCTCTGCGATGTAGAACTGAGTGGCCTCTTCCGTCAGAGTGTCCTTCTTCATCAGCAGGGTCATCATGTCACCTGCAGCACAACAGTAGAGACCACAGTCAGAGCTGAAAATACAAAACATTCCTACTCCCTTTCTTGAAGATTATGCAACTTTTTTGGAAGTGGTGCCAGAGCGCCTGATAAGCCAAAGGCTATCTGGCCGCCCATGATGTGTTCTCGTCTCCTCTGAGTATTGTGCTGTATGGTTAGAGGGTCATACCTCCAGGCAGGAACTCCATGATGAGGTAGAGGTTCATCTTATCCTGGAAGCTGTAGAACATTTTAACCACCCACAGGCTGTCGGCCTCCACCAGAATATCCCGCTCAGCACGGATATGACCAACCTAACAGACAGAGACACACAACACACAAACGCACAGAGACGGTCAAAGATGTTCAAAGATGCCCAACACAGGAAACAGCAGCATTCCAGTGTTCAGCAGTCCAGAAACAAGTATCACGGCTAACGGTACAGGCAAAATTAAAATCTTGTCTTCTGTTATTTATGCAAAAATGTTGCATGGAATAATGCAGCACACTTTTTTGTGGAAAAACTAGTATATATGTTTTTGCCATGTGTATAATACATGTCAGGTGAGCACTGGTCGTACAAAGTGTATGATGAGAACTGTCCTTTATCCTTGTTCTGCTTGATCCTGTCCTTGATGCTCCCCATCATCAACAGACAAACTAAAAGTTCATTTTCTTTTCAAAGCTTAACAAAACAAAATTCGATGAATCTCATATAAATGTTACTGTGGTTTTATACATTCAATTGTTTTCATTCTCTTCTTGTTATTGTGCATTTCTGACAATTGTGTTTTTGTCTTCATTCTAAGTTAGTATTGTTTATTGTTTTACATGAAGAGTTACATTAATTATCTTCTGCTTTTTGGGTTGTTTTTTTCTGTTTTATTGATATAGTGTGATTTTAATAATTGTTTTATTTGTTGTTTTTGTGTGTGAGCTCAAGGAAGACTAGCGGCCACTGTCTGGAAGCTGACGGGGATCCAAATAAAGAAATAAAGAAAGTCCAGTGTGTGTATTCTGCTGCCTCACCTGTTCTTTCTCCAGCATGTCAGCTTTGCGGAGGATCTTCATGGCATACACGTGACCAGTGTCTTTCTTCTGCACCAGACGAACCTGGAGGCAAGAACAACAGAGTTTATACAACCTGACAGAGGGTTGATCTGAAATAGCTCTGAAATACAGTCATGGTGGATTCAGGTACAAATATCTGAAGGAGCAGGCAGAGAGGCGGCGCTATGGCTCTGTGCTCTCATTTAAAATATTATGTCTTCAGACTTGTGACACATGTACATGTTAACTTACTGTCAAAAGGCCACCAACACTTTCAATTGACAGAAGATCATTTATCTTAATCACTGGATGATTGACTATGAGAAATACTGTGAAAACAATTCAGCTATAATAACACTGACACCATCTTGCTAACTCATTAAAAGTGAGTTTTTCGTGTGTTACAGTATGTTGTCCACTGTGATAAAACAGGTTGCAGATTTCTGAGGGTGGGTCGATTATAAAAATGACGTACCACAATGTTTGCTTGAAATGAAAACCTGCACTCTTGGGATCACACCTGCACACAGGTCTAATGTTTCAAGTTTAATGTAAAAGGTCTTCACCTCTCCAAAAGCTCCTCGGCCAATCACCTTCAAGGACTCAAAGTCCTCCAGACCCAGTCGAGTCCGTTTCAGACGCAGAAACTCTGTCTCTTTCCTTGCATGCTGAGAACGCCGGATACGTTTCTGCAGAGCACAAACCCCACATTTGAAAACACACAATTCTGTATGATGCACACTTGCTACTTAACGTCACGCATTACTGTATATTTTCACACCACTAGCTGAGATTCACTACTTTACAGTCTCTTATAGCTTGCAGTTTAACACCAAAAACAGGTAGAATTGAAAGAATGCAACTACTGTTTTCACTGTACAGAAATATTTTCAGAAAACTTAAAAGCTCAGATCCAAATAAATGAGTGCAGTCGAACATCCTTGCAGATATGTTATTGTCTCTGGGAATTTTTTCCCCCAATTCTCAGGCTACTTCTTGGCTGTGTTTTGCCCCAAACAAACTTCAAAGAGTTATACTCCATTATGTGCATCAGACTCTCAAAGAAAAAGATGGATTAAATGGGTTGAGGGATGAGTGATAATATTCAAATCTATCTACCAACTACTTGCTTGGGAGGTGTAAATAGAAAAGAGTCCACGAGTTCTTTCACATCTGTACAGTGGGCAACACTGGATCAACACTTGTGAGGACAATCATTATAAAGGTTTACTTTTTAATCAAAGAAAATAAACATCAAGCACTTTACAGCACTGCTCCAGGAGCTCTAAAAGTCTGACCAACGCTGTGATAGAGCTGAAAACCTCAGTTCCTTTGAGTGGATTCTCCCATACTGCAACAGGGTATGGTGGGAAAACACTGCAGATGTGTATTTGTCACTCACCTCTTCATCAGCCAAGCCCTCCTGATCCATCACTTTCTCCAGCTTCTGCTGTCTGAAAAGGCAAATTGACTTTAAGCGTTATCTTACAGCCACGGAACAGTGTATGCATATCTCATAATGTCAGTTACATTGGCAATAATCATAAAAGGCACTGACACACTTGAGTGATGTAATAAAAACAAAACAAAATAAGCAAATAAGCAGCGATTCCAGGGTCAAGCCCTTTTGCAACAACAGGAAGGAACATCAGCAAGTTTAATTCTGTTTAAAGGAGTGAGGCCTCACAAGGCCTGCAGCATTTCTCAATAGCATCTTCGTGAGTAATGAGCAAATATACGATAGGGCACACCCACTTGAACAAATCAAGGACAAGTCATTAATGAGTTTTTATTCAAAACTAAATAGAAATAAAAAATATATAAGCCAACCTCCAAAATAATCAGGACCGTGATGAATATACACTGATGTAACTTGCCAGCAGCAGCAGGAAGTAGTCTTCCCTCAACTAAACTCACATAAACCACATCTTCTTACACCCACACATGAAAAAATATGTTTATTTGAATGTGTGTGTAGCAGAAGAAGCAATTATTTCTCAGTTCAGTGTCAGTATGAATTACATGTTTAGCCAGGAATTAAAACCTCAAAGTCATCAACATACTGTATCAGGGCAAAGTGCTGCAAAAACGCAGTGTGTAGCGAGTCAAAAAGTCCATGAGTAAACCTGACACCTGTGGATGTTTCGTTACCTCATCTCTCTCTCCTCATGCTGAGCGATGAGGTTGCTGTAGAAGTTCTCCAGAGTCACTTTGGCCATGGTGACCCGCTCCTTAGTGTGGTTACTCATGGAGGAGCACGAGCTTTGGCCGGTCATCGCCATGCTTTACCTGAAAATACAGAAAAAAACCCACAAAAAAAACAAAACAAAGTGAGTGGAGAACATTTTACAACACACCCGTTGCTACACACCACTGGATATTCATATCCAATCAGACTGCTCCATCCAAAAGGTAGGATGGGACAATGGAGGCCTATAGGAAGCAGCAAAGTAGACTGCAAAGTCTATTAAATTGTACCTTGTTATTATGCTAAGATCAAATGTTACAGCATTGAGCTGATCTCACAAAAACTGGATATGTAATATGTAATAAAATTATGGGTGGCTCAAAGAAAGAGGAAGGAAAGCTGCTGGCTCTGCTGCCTGAGCCGAGAAATGTTGATTAACATTGTGACAGAGCAGTTATGAAGAAACGATGAGGAAATCTGATTTGTGCAAGCAATGATGGTAGAGTCCTTCTGTGACATGGATGGGGTTTTGAGGCAAGATGAGCTCAATTATGTCTAGACTTAAACTCTGCAATCAGGGCTGACAATGGTTAAACAGAAAAAACGAGAAAATTAAAAACTATTGTACCGCAGGTGCATTTGTATCTGCAGCCTGTGTAGCTAAAGAGATAAAAAACTATTTAGACTAGTGCCCTATAAGCTTTGCTTTCACTATGCAATAATTTTGCAGGAAAATGAAGGCTCCATTTACAGCACAATGGAAATGCACCTGCCACTGCACAACCAAAACAGAAGGAGGATAGTCCTTTTGTTTTCCCTCTCTTCCCCAGGTACCAGAAATGACAGTCAGTAGAACAACTGAAGTAACTGTGGAAACTCCACCCAGCCAAAGAAACACAGCCTCGTTGTTGAAGGAAGCAAAGAGGGCGAAGAGATAGAGTGACAGAAATGGAGATAAAACAAGAGTACACCTCGATGTGGCTATCACTCGATGTGGAGAGAGCCATGCTCGGACTGGGACAGAAATTCAGCCCTGGACTTATGTACTGGAACCGAATTTATTGATTTTTCTTGCTGTCCACTTGTACACTGATGCTGCAGCCCACCAGGCTTTGTCCTGTTTGTCCATGTGGCCAGTCCCACTAGTGCAGAGCTCTGGGACTTGAGACAGCTCCAAACCGACATTCAGTTGGCATTATTTCTACTAGATCACTAAGTAACAAAAACTGCCAACTTATTAATACCTTGCAGCATTTTACTCTGCCTTTATCATAGCACTTGGGTTTTTAAGGTCAAGTTGGGATTCTTCCATTTACCTCTTGCTTCAGTCAGTACCCAGTCTGAAACAAATGATCATTGTGCATTTGATAATGTAAAAAAAAAAAAAAAAACATGTTTCCTGGTGGTGCCTTCTATAAAAATGACCAGTGGTGAAACGTACTATATTCTTCTTCGTCACAATGTGGCCAACATTAACACCACTTTTAAATTTCTAGTTGTAAATCAACTTTTGCAAACATGTAAAATAAATCTGCATGAAAAATTCAAGTTTGTACATGCGTAGAAAAGATTTGTATTTGTAAAAGAAAAAAAACAAAAAAAAAGACTGCGAATAAAATCCGTGAACAAATGATATCAGTGGTGAGGTTACACAAAGGCACTGTGAAAAAGAAAGTGCAGTGTGAACATCTCTGTACAGATAAAAAAGCCGAAAAACTGCGTATAATAAAGTATGAATTTAGATCCTGTTTTTACACCTTAATCTTAAACTAGACAAACTGGACAAACCTCTGCCACAGGTCCTAGAAGGTGTAGCATGGATTTGCATACATGCACAACACATTGAATGTTTACCACAATTTTCTACAGCACCATCAAACCTGGGTCACGGAGGAGCCCTCTGTTTGGACCCTGTTTTGTCATTGCATTATCATTGTCCAATCAGATTCAGGTGTAAAAACAGGGTCAAAATTTGTACTTGTAATTTCAGTGTCACACAGTGTGGGAACTTGAGGGTTTTACACTTTACATCTTAGCTATTTTCCATGATGACAGTCACCAGTACTACCCTATGACAGCGAGGTCGGCCTTTCCCTTCCAAAGTCTGTGGTGGTACTCCAGACGTTTTTTTTGCTGTAGTTAATTGTCAAATAGGCGTTTTAGAATGATACACAACGGTTCAGAAAACCCTGAAACTAAGCAGGTAAATTAACGCTACACTTGTACTGAATTTAAGCAATCATCATCGTGTCATTCTCCATACGCAAAAATAAACAAGATACATAGTGTTTGCGGCTATTTAGAAAACGTGAGTGATTGAGTGTTTCTGGTTTTGGTCAGCTGTTGTCAAAAACTGACTAACCCGGTCAGTTTCAACAACACGTAGTCTTAAAAGTTGTTCGTTTCGGTTGCAACGTAGCCATCCTTGACATAAATTTCCTACAGAGCAAATGATTGTGAATAGATTATAATCAAACTCAATACTTAGTGTATTTTAACGTAATCTTGGTTTAGTTATACTTATAATGATAAGTTTGTATAGTTTCCGTTAACCTATGGCCTCAAAAACAAAAACTTTAACCCGCTAACATTAGTTAGCTTGCTAGTTAGCTATTAAAGTTCCTGGGTGTTTAAAGTCAGCAGATAAAGTATGAATAAGACCGGAAGCGTCATTCAAAATAAAACTGCCCCGTTTTAGGAGACACCATTTCATTATCTGTTCGAGACAATGAATTTTATTTTGAAAGCCTTCAACGGAAAATCTCGATTTCCATTTTCACGAACTTGACAACCCGAAGTTACCCGAAGCAAACAGCGAAGAGAAAGTTAGCTAGTCAACGTTAGCTACTTATCTGCTAAAATGCCTTGAGTCGTTTGTTTCGAAATCCAACAGTATGAGACAGAGTACATTGACAATTAAAGTATTAGGATGATTATCTTAAGAAAACGTCCGACATGCTGTCTTTTCTCTGTTCTATTCTGTATGTCTGTAGTTGGTCTTTGTTCGCTTACCTTGGTCGAAGGTGCGGTGTCTGCCGTCTCTTCCTCTGCGTTACCGACAGTTGCGTCACAATCAATTAGAACTCACCACGACACCCAGTGGCCAAACTTCGAGGTTTTCTTCTTCTTGAGTTTCCGGCAGATTAGATTCCTCGCGGCACATTGCTGCCTCTCACTGCCTGTGTGATCAGATTGCAGTTCGGAGTGACTACATAAATATAATCCTGTTGCGGCGATGTGATATAAGGACTGCTTTCAAAAGCTGATTGTTCGTTCTCAGTGGGATTGAGCAAGATCTTCATTGTAATAGCCTTTATGCCTAGGCCTGATGCTGCAGCATTAAGCCTTTCTCTTTCTTTCATGTAACATTTGCATTCCTCGAGTAGGTGTTTCAGTTTGTTGTTTCTTGCACGGTCCACACACGTCATCTTCATGCTTGCCAATCTTTGCCAAGTCCCATGCCAGTCCACAGTGCCCCAGCCTCGATCTTGTCATAACTACAGTTTGTCTTCTCTCTCCCTAAATAACAATGTTCTTTGTTTACATGGCTCTGTACAGCAAAGTGGTGATGACACTTTTCATTTTACCACTCTTTCAGCCACAGAGCTGTTGTTTCTTTCTACCGGGCTCATATCTTGCATCGTCACCAGGACCAAGGCCAAATCTGAACATATGACTGCACGACTTGGCTTCACCTCCTCAATCTACTGTAATGCCCAAATTATATATATATATATATATTTCATACATCTCTGATCATCTAATCAGAGTGCTGTTTCTTTTGTCTTTTTCTCTATATTCTACAATATGATATAGATATGATTTCTCTCTATTATAATGTTTTCTTCCATCCAGCCAAGGTCTGGATCTTTAGGGACACCTACAACCTCTTGCAGCAATGATGGAGGCCCTGCACGAAGATCTTCTCTTCCCAAACATAGACACAGTGTCTTATATGATAATATAGTATTTTTTAATGTAACACTTGTGGCCATAACATTGTTCAGTCTTATCAGCTATGCTCTTCCTTGTTCCCTACACCCTCACTGTCGTATTACACTCTCTGCCTCATGTCAGACATACAATCACATGACTTTTGGACTTCACTGTAACTGTAACAAATTGTCAATAGTTTAAAACATTAGAGTTCATATTTCATAGTCCTCAGCCATTATAGTTAATATCAGTGTACTGTTCCAACAGCATCACTTATGTAGAGGGAGATTGTTACTGGAGCAAATAAATATTAACTAAATATTAACTGTCTCACACATTAGGACTATGAACTATGATGAATAATGATTATACTTGTTTCTAAAAATTCTGTTGCACTGTTGATTCAACTACTTCTTTTTATTAAGCAAACTTACATATTACAGTGAAATTCAGCTTTAACTTCATCCACAATATTTTTTGATTTTAAATAGTTAGCTGATTGTAAATTGTACACTATAATATTTAATTAATCCACTTATTATTCTTTTATACATGTTTCCAGTGTTGTAAATTATTTGTATTAGTGTAGTTTATAATGTCCAATAAAGTTATTTATGAAGCTCTTGCTTTAACTTTGTTGATGGTTTTTATAGAACACATATGGTATGAATTTTCACAATAGTAACAACATAAATAGTAGAAATATTTAAATGTTGTCCGACAACACTGACAATGAAGGATCAAAAAATATGCTGATGTCAATTGGTAAATACATTTACCTGTGGAGGTGGTGACAGTGCTAGAGATGATCTATCACTTAATCACAGTTTAATATTTATAAATTCTGTTCTTAAAAGTGTTGCTACCATCACCTGTCAACAACAGCAGAAATGAAGTTGCAGGTAAGAAACTGAACCTGTGAATACTGAAGACAGAGAATAATAAACAAACTCATGAACAGTTGGTCTGTCATTTCATCAGAGGAAGCTGAACTGGGAGAGGTTTTCTAGCATCATCATCACAGCACATTTGAGAACTAAGGATGTCCATGCAGCCTCCCTTCTCCACAACCAGATGAATGGAAACAAATGGGCTGCTCTGTACATGAGGTCCTCCTTCTGTTGGCACAGATCACTCAGTTTTCACAAAGTGGAAACCTTTCAAATGACAACGAAAGACAAACAGTCAATCACAAATATCTATCAGCTGTCAGGATAGGTGCATGAATGTTGAGGACTGGTTTGAGTATTAAATGAGCAATCTTCTATATGACAAATCTTTTTCTACACATTTTGTATACGTCACGTTATCTTAACTTGAACTATCACGACGTCTTGATGGACACTGTATTAACTAACATTAACGCTGCCATTACACTAACACAGATCACTTAAACTGGGCCACATGTGCGAGGAACACAAACCAAACGTCGTTAGATTAAATTCACCTTTTTAATGGGCTTTGACTGAACACCTCCACGGGCTCACCCAGGTTGACACAGGTTATCAGCCCAGCGTCTCCAGGTACTGTTAGCATAGCAATCGCTAAGTTATCAGCTAATGCTAACACTAGCTGGCTAGCTTGGTTAGCAAGGTGCATCTTCACCTGAACTGTGATATTAACAGGGATGCTAATTTTGCTAGCAAAGAAAGATGGGACATACTTCTGTTTGGATTTGCTCTCTCTTAGCTCGCTATTTAAAGTAAAGTATAGTATGGCAGGACGTGGCAAGGTTTCCACCATTTTTGTAGTGTCATCCATTAAAGTCAACAGCAAAACAAGAGGAGAGGATTGAAGGAATAGTGTGACATCTAAGAAAATGTCACTATATTCCTAATTGAGAGTCAGATGACAAGATTGATACCATTCTCACGTCTAGACAGCAACAGATTTTGTTACCACTGGAATGAGCAAGGCTAGCTGCCTCCCTGTTTCCAGTCATTGTGCTAAGCTATGCTAAGTGATCGTAGATTCATATTTACCATACAGACATGAGATTGGTATCAGGGTGCGTCCACACTAATACATTTTCATTTTAAAACAAAATTGTCTCCATCCAGACGATCGTTTTAGCTCTGTATCAGAAATAATCTTGGTCCATACTAATGCACCTAATGTCCCTACCAATATATTGGAAAGACAGAACTGTCCCTATCAAAATTTGAGTGAACTCGTTCTATGTTTGGAGTGAAGTAATATTAGATCATTTCAATGTGGCCTCCAAGAGGCTACGTCTCCAAGACAAACGATTTAGGCATGCTGGCATTTGCTTGACTGAAAGGGCGTGACTATCTGAAGGCTTACGTCACGTGAGAATATCACAGTGGTACCTGACATCACCAGAGAACGTCAACTGATGTTATTTAACCATGTGAGCTAGCGTTAACGTGCAAGCTAACCCTGGCTTCTGTCTTCTGTAGGCTAGCAGTCGGGTTGCCCAGCAGGAGTGAGCATTACCATATTACGAGTCTTTTAAGCCTTACTATACAATGACTTTATGTCTTACAATACTACAATTTTTTTTATGAATTACTATACTATAACTATGATGTTTCTATGACATTTTACGCTGTATTACACTATAACGTTTTAATTACATTTTCTGCCTTATCATACTATGGCATCTTTATGACGTTTTATGCCTTGCAATAGTATGAAGTTTTTATGCCTTACCGTACTATAAATTTTTTACAATACTATGTAATTTTTTTTTTTTTTTTTACATTTTATGCCTCACTATACTATGAGATTTCATGCCTTTGTGTACTGACATTTGTATGCCATAATATACTAAAGCATACAATGTGGTCTGGCCAGCAACAACATAAAAGTTCTTATCATTGGGGTATCACAGTGATAGGCCTTACTATGAGAAAAAAACCCCAAAAAAACAATGAAAGGAGTTTTTAAACATGTTTAATGTTTTTATGGATAATTTCATTTAAAAACATTTATATACAGTATATATATATATATATATATTTTTATTTTTATCTTTTCACACAAATCGTACTGTTTTGCAAATTATTTGCATGCCCACTTGCAATACATTCACAGTCCACCAGTGGGCCCCAGCTCACAGGTTGGGAACCACTTGTAAATCTTTTGAGAGAGAACTGGACTGCTCAGCTCTATTTCCTACTTTTTAGATTCTAGATCACTTGTCAGTCACAAATAAAGAAACAGAGTGAGAAAAGAAAGATTGTAAAAGAACATTAGACAGATATATACCAAAACGGACAAAAGGCGACCAGCCATTGGGGCCTCGTTGCCTAAAAATCAGAGACTGCAGGTGCGTGGACTGGAAAACTAGTCTTTATTTGAAATGATTTTCCTGCTCATCAGTGACACACTTTGGCCACAGGCTGAGGACCAACACATGGATCTGAAGTCTGTCAATCTGCCAGTGTTTCACAGAGTAGCAGCAAGATAGCATACAGTAATTCACACATTGTTACACACATACTTAAAACCAAACTGACACAGGACATAAAACACACAACATTCACATCTTCTCCTATGCACTCCTTTATACACACCCAGGGACCCTGAGAGCTAGTGTTTCTTTGTCTTATCACTTTTCTTCTTCTCTTGGTATTCAAGGATCTTTTTGTGAAATATTCCTGCAGGACAAAGAACAGGATCATAAATCAGTGCACTGTAAAAAAACCCCAAAAACAGTTGCTCCAATAAGAGCTCAAGTTACAAGACCCAGTAACTTAATTAAATCTGAAATGTGATAACTAGACACTATACATTGGCCAGACTGAGTTAGTTAATAAGGGTGAGTTGATTTACTTAAATTGGTTGGTTTTTTTGTGTAGACCTACACTGTAAAAGTTAGTTTTTCAAATGAGTGATTTTACACATGCCAGCTGTTGGGGGTTGGATGCTAGCAAGGAGCAGCTTCAATCCTGTTTTGGCTGTGACTTAATGGATGACACTACAAAAATGGTGGAAACCTTGCCACGTCCTGCCATACTATACTTTACTTTAAATAGCGAGCTAAGAGAGAGCAAATCCAAACAGAAGTATGTCCCGTCTTTCTTTGCTAGCAAAATTAGCATCCCTGTTAATATCACAGTTCAGGTGAAGATGCACCTTGCTAACCAAGCTAGCCAGCTAGTGTTA